TCTGTATATATATATATATATATACACACACACAAAGCTAAAATGGTTCCTACTCCAGCGGATACATCTCCTATAAGCCCACACACAGATGTAGCACATCAAAGTGATACAGGTATATATATATATAATACCGATTTTAATATGTATCAATAAATGTAAAGTTTTACAATTCCAAAGTTGTTGTTGCACCCAATACCTAAAAAGCCCCAATGCTTTTCTCTATATGTATTCTCAGATGTCAGGGGAGACATCTGAGGTCTAATGGATGTCTCCCTAAAGAGAACCTGTCACCTCCAAACGCTATTACATAGGGGCTTGTTAGCCCCTATGTGGTAGCAATAACATTAAGTGAAAAACAAATTAAAAAGTGCTAAGAAAAAGTAAAAAAAATAATAAAATAAACATTTAAAAATGTAAAACCAACGTATGCATAGGGCATGCATGTGTCCGTAACCGATGTTTGAGCCACACATGTTCGGTATCACTGCGAACATCAGAGTGAGAGTTATCATTCTAGGGCTATTCCTTTTGGAGTTCTGTCTTGAAAAGACCACCCTAACTCTTCTCAAGACAGTTCAAAACAAGAAAGTTAACAAATCCAAGCCAGATGCATCTGCTACCCTTGATGTCTGACCAGTCTGGGAATTCCTGGCGCAGCACAGACTTCACACTATATCACTAAGTCCTGGTGTGTAAAATGGAACTCTTTCCCACTGAAAAGTAATATAAGGGGCCCCTTCCCCACTGACCATTAATTTAAGGGAGCTCTTCTCCACTGACTTCCAATATAAGGGGGCCCTTCTCCACTGACCACTTATATAAGGGGCCCTTCTCCACTGACCACTTATATAAGGGGACCCTTCTCCACTGACCACCAACATTAGGGGGCCCTTCACCACTGACTACTTATATAAGGGGGCCCTTCTCCACTGACCACCAATATAAGAAGTCTCTATCGCTGACCACTTATATAAGGGGGCCATCCTCCACTGACCACTAGTATAAGGGGGCCTTTCCCCACTGGCCATTAGTATAAAGGGGCCTTTCTCCACTGACCACTAATATAAGGGGGCTCTTATCCACTGACCACTTATATAAGGGGGCTCTTCTTCACTGATTACTACTACCGTAATACATGAAGGCCCTTCTCCGATAAACACCAATATAAGGGGGCTCTTCTCCACTGACCACCAATATAAGGGATCCCTTCTCCACTGACCACTACTATAAGGGAGCCCTTCTCCACTGACAACTAGTCAGTGGAGAAGCATGATGAGATTTGTAGTTTAACCACAGCGGTAATGACTAGGTTGCGTACGCCTGTAGCAGATGTTTTTACTATTGGTATAAGGGTACAATAACTATTTTACTATTACTTGCCAGAAAAAAATAGCTGTTACATAAATAACGCTGTTGAACTTCTGAAAACGTATTGTCACCATTAACTGCACAAATACTTAGATCACACACCACTAACCAAGGCTCTTCAAATGCACGAAACATAATCCTCTACTCCAGCAGAAATCATCTGCATGATCACGTGACTCAAGCCAACGCCTAAGCGGACATATTTAATTTGGGCAAACTAATATAAATTCATATTTTTTTTGTTTATAGTAAAACTGTAAATATGAAAACATACAGATAGCCAACACAGTTCTGTACGAACGAGACACAGCAGTTGTTCTCTATTCGCTTGCGCTATTATTAAACGTTTTGTTGTTGCCCACAAGAAAGATGGCACCCGCATTCCAGTTCGTGCATGTTTGTGGTTTATGACCAATCCTCAGCTGATTCCTTCAGTCATGGCGAAGCTTCTCTATTTGGCTGTGGCGTCCGTGCTTTTAGCAGTATGTTTTGGGTCGAGGCTTCTCGGTGCTCCAAGGCAGCTGAGTGAAGATGATAAGAATGTAAAGGACGCGCTGGTGTTCGCCATGTATAATTTTAACAAGGCCAGCAATGACATGTTCGCCAGCCGCCCAGTGAAGGTGCTCAATGCCACCGTGCAGGTTAGTGTGCGCCGCTAGGGAGATAACGGTACTGGGCTGGGATCGGGAGTCTCATACCCTGATCAATCCCATACATCTCTTTACTAATCTCTGTACTGAAATGTAAACTGCTTAACTAAACCGTATGACTGCTTGGATTTCCCAGGTCCTAAAACACTCCTGTTGCTATGGATAACGAATGTCCTGACATACATAATCTATGCAAGTGTATCTCTAGCCAAAATGTTGCCTACGGCAGCCTTTCTGAGCCTATATTATGGCCACTGGACCCTATAAAAGTATTTGGAATCTAGTTCCCCCCAGTCTAAAATGTAAGAAATGAGGCGCTGCCCCCTCCAAAATCTCAGATTGGGGTCTGGTATGGATTTTAAGGTGGGGCTAAAAATACTGAAAACACAACAAATATGGGGTTCCCCCTTCACATAAGGAGCCCTGTTTAAATTCACAACACCCTATTTATATCAGAGTTCCCCCTTCACTTTTGTATCATGAGCCCCCTTCACATCAGAGTCCTCAGTCCTCGCTGAGTTCAACCATCGTGACAGCGGTAAGGGGCGCATGGCGTGGGCGACAGAGCGGTAAGGGGCGCATGGCGTGGGCGACAGAGCGGTAAGGGGCGCATGGCGTGGGCGACAGAGCGGTAAGGGGCGCATGGCGTGGGCGACAGAGCGGTAAGGGGCGCATGGCGTGGGCGACAGAGCGGTAAGGGGCGCATGGCGTGGGCGACAGAGCGGTAAGGGGCGCATGGCGTGGGCGACAGAGCGGTAAGGGGCGCATGGCGTGGGTGGCAGAGCGGTAAGG